TTATTACATCATATAATTTATATTATTATTTATCATTATTTATTATTTATTTTTTATTATATTATACAGTTTGCTTCATTTATATTAAATTAGAATTAAAATTTAATTAAAATAAGTGTTATTACATTATATAATTTATATTATTATTTATCATTATTTATTATTATTTATTTATTATTATATTAGTTTACTTCATTTATATTAATTAGAATTAAAATTTAATTATAAGTATCATAAATCTTACAATAGTATTAATATATTGTATTATTATATATAAATGTATTATCATATTACAATACATTATTATATATAATATGTATGTGTCAAATTATACAATAATATATACAATACAATAATGTTATTTTAATTATAACAATATGTTTGTTATATGTGTATATTATATATAAAAGTATTATCTTATATATTATAAATATAATGTAATATAAAGAATACATTATTTATATGTTTGTGTTATTACTTTTATTTTAATTAAATTTGAATAATAATATATGTTTTAGTTGCATTATTAATAATACAGTAATAGAATATTAATAAAATATTAATAATATATTAGTAATATATTAATAATATATTAATAATATATCAATAAGAATTATCAATACATTTAAATATATAATAACAATATATTACATTAATAATAACATAATATTATATTAATAAATAACAATATTTTAATATAGCAGTTATCAATATATAGGGCTATATAGTATTAATTTTTCTAATTATAACTAAACAATAAATACACACTGTCTATTTTATATATAATAAATTTATATTATAAATTAATTATATGTTAATAAATCAATTATATAAGTATTTACTACTATTAATATAAATAATATTAAGAATACTATTAATTAATATTAATAATAATATTAATATTATACTATTATAATATTAATTATATACTATAATCAATCAACAAATCCTTTGTTTTCCTTGTTTTTCCTTCGATTCCTGCTGCCAAAAGGCTGCAAAGGAGGGATTTTTATCCACCAGGGAAAAGAAAGCAGGATTTAAAACCCAAAAGAAAAGAGGGGGAAGCTTAAGGCAAAATAAAAACCATCTAAAAATCAGGAAAAATAGGGAAAAACATCCCAAACTCGGGGTTTCCTGGGATAAGTTTCCAGCTAAGTGGAAATCCGGGGAGGGATCCCAGACACAGACCCCAAAATTTTGGCATTTTTGGTCATAAGAAATGAAGATCCTAAAGCTGCCAAAAATAGCTCGGATAGGAGTTAAAAAAAAATAATTAAAAAATCAGTTTTTTCCCCTGAGAATTCCCTGAGGAAACAGAAAAGGAACCAGGAAAAAGGGGCAAGGACAATACTCACATTTTTCCCTGACTTCTGCAGGTTGACTGAGCTTCCAAATATCATAAATCCTGCTCAGGCCAAAACGAGCCAAGCCCTAAAACAACCAAAAAAACGGAGCTTTTCCATTATTATTTTATTATTATTTTATTATTATTTTAATATCCCAAAATAAAAGCGGCTCTTCCAGGGAAAATAAAGTGGGAAAAAAAAATATCTCAGTTTCAACATAAATTGACCCAAAAAGCTCTTTTTTTTTTTGAGGGCATTTTTTACTTCCCAAAAGTATTTTTTTTGCCCCCTCGTTTCTAAATCCTCTTCGGTTTGTTCCACCCAAAGGAAAATCAGGATAAATTAAATATATCACAGATTTATTGGGATAAATCAAATTTATCCCAAATTTTTATTTGGTACTGGGCAGCCACCGCTTCAAAGGCTTATTTCATTTTAATTTTGGTGGTGAAAAATTTGGAATATCGGCCTAAAAATTCCAAAGAATTCCTCGGCTTTGAGCTCCTCCAATTCCGGCTGCAAAATTCCCAAATTAAAGGAGGTTTTTCCCTATTCCGTGAGATTTTATTGGCGATTCAGAGCTCGAAGCCCAGTGATTCCTGAGGCTTTGGAATGTGGAGCAGGGTTAAAACCCTCCTGGAATTCCAGCCCAGGGGTTCCTGCAGGTGTGGGTGGACGTATTCTCCTCCGGCTCCACTTTTTTGGGAATGAAAATCCAGGGAAATCCCGGGGCTGTTGCTCCCTCAAGGGGTTGATGTCCGGCACTGCGGAAAATCCCGATTTCCCTTCCCAAAAAGGCCCCAGTTTTCCTTGGATTTCCCAGGTGGATCGAGCCAGGGATCAAAGCCCCACAGGGCTGGGAATCCACGATGATCCCGGCACATTCCAAGGTCGCTTCCAGCTTCAAACACTGCCGTTGTCTCCCAAGAAAACATGGAAAATGGTTATTCTTTCCCTGTTTTTACACTCGATTCCGGCTGATTTTTAATTCCAAAGGCACCGGAACCGCTCCAGCTCTTCCAAATACTTCCAGCCACTTGTTCCACCCCCTCTTTTCCCGCCCCATCCCACCTAAAGCTGGATAAAACCGGGATAAATCAGCCTAAAAACGGGATTTGAGGATAAAACGGCTCCAAATCACTTCCCGGCCGCACCAGATTCCCGCTTTTTGACGGAATATCGATTCCAAAGGCGGGAATTGGCCGTGGCCGTTCCCACCTACCCCGATGACGTGGATTGGGATGGGTCTGTCCCTCCCGGTGAGTTTGACGGCGTCGTCGAAAACGCTGGAATTGCTGCGGGAAAGGACCGTGATCTTCCCTTCCATGGAGCCCCGGATGGCGCCTGCACGGACACATTCCCAGGGATCCCGGGAGTCAGGATCCGGATCCAAGGAATTCCACGGATCAGCGTTATTTGTTTAGTTATTTCTCCTTTATGGGTCGTATTTATCTTCAGTTTGATAAATTTAATTGATTTATGGATTTGTTAACATATTTAACATGGTTTTGTAGATGAAAGGTATTATATTTCTTATTATTATTATATTATATTATTAATAGAAATATATATTGATATATTTAATATACATTTAATTATGTTATCTGTTTATTAGCTTGATAAATTTAACCAACTTTTTCACATTAAATCCTAAAGTTCATTTAGAAAATGAAAATTGAATAAAACAGAATTTAAGGAAAATAGAATTTAAGGAAAAAAGAATTTAAAGAAAATAAAATTTAAAGAATAAAATAAAATTCAAATAAAATAAAATGTGAATAAAATAAAATGTAAAGAAAAAAGAGATTAAAAAAATAAAATTTAAATAAAATAAAATTTAAATAGAAGACATGTAAATAAAAAAGAATTTAAAATAGAATTTAAATAAAATAGAATGTAAAAAAATAAAATTTAAATAAAATAAAATTTAAACAAAATAATATTTAAATAAAATTTATTCATAAAATAAAATCTATTAATTCGACTATTAATATTATTAACGTAATTAGTTTATTTTATAAATTAAATTATTAACTAATTATTAACAACTAGTTATTTATATACAATTACTATATCATATTTTATGCATAATAACTATATATTAATTATTAACTATGCTAAACTCAAATGTAATTTCAAATTTCACTTTGAAATGAAATGTAATGAATTTAATGTAATCGATTATGAATTATTAGCAACTTTATTATACACTATTTATTACAAACATTTACTCCTAATTGAATTTTATAAATTAATTATTAACTTATAAATTAATTGAATTTTACAAATTCAATTACCTTTTTAAATGTTGAACTTAAAGAGTAAACTTGAATTTACATTTTATAATCGAATTCTATTAATTTAATTTATTAAAATTGATATTAATTATTTATGTTATTAGTTAATAAAATGGATTAATTATTAGTTAATAAAATGGATTAATTATTAGTTAATAAAATGGATTAATTATTAATTAATAAAATGTATTAATTACTTAATTAAGCTCAATTTATGGTCCTGAGCTGAGAGAGCACAACTCACCCTTTTGGTTCCCACCCACCAACGTCTTATTCCGGATCCCTTTGCAAACATCCAGGATTGTTGCTCCAACATAAGCAATTTCGGGACCAAATCGGAAACTCTGCGTGGAAAAAATCCAGGAAAAGATGAGGAATTGGTCAGAACCTACAAAAGTATTGCTATGTATGGAATTTTCCTAGAAATCCTGGTCATTCCTAAACTCAAGTGACACCATTCCCATCAAACCATTCCTTGAAATCCAGGTCAGTTCTTAATCCCAAATTATACAATTCCCACCAAGCTATTCCTAGAAAATCTGGACATTCCTAAACCTACATTATACAATTCCCACCAACCTTCTGGACAACTTTTCTCTTGGAAAAACACCCAAATCCCCCCAGTCTATTCCTAGAAATCCTGGTCATTCCAATACACAAATTATACAATTCCCATCAAACCATTCCTTGAAATCCCGGTCATTCCTAAACCCAAATGACACCATTCCCATCAAACCATTCCTTGACATCCTGGTCAATTCTTAAACCCATGTCATACAATTCCCACCAAACCATTCCTTGAAATCCCAGTCATTCCTAAACCCAAATGATACAATTCCCATCAAACCATTCCTTGAAATCCTGGTCATTCCTAAACCCAAATTATACAATTCCCATCAAACCATTCCTTGAAATCCAGGTCATTCCTAAACCCAAATGACACCATTCCCATCAAACCATTCCTAGAAAATCTGGTCATTCCTAAACCCAACTGATACAATTCCCACCAACCTTCTGGAAAAGTTTTCTCTTGGAAAAACATCCAAATACCTCCAGACTATTCCTAGAAATCCTGGTCATTCCTAAACCTAAATTATACAATTCCCATCAATCCTCCTGGATAACTTTTCTCTTGGAAAAGCACTCAAATCCCCCCAAATCTATTCCTAGAAATCCTGGTCAATCCTAAACCTACATGATAAAATTCCCATCAACCTTCTGGACAACTTTTCTCTTGGAAATACACCCAAATCCCCCCAGTCTATTCCTTGAATCCCTGGTCATTCCTAAACACAAATTATACAATTCCCATAAAAACATTTATACAATTCCCATCAAACCATTCCTTGAAATCCCAGTCAGTTCTTAAACCCAAATTATACAATTCCCATCAAGTTATTCCTAGAAAATCTGGTCATTCCTAAACTCAACTGATACAATTCCCACCAACCTTCTGGACAAGTTTTCTCCTGGAAAAACAC